ATATGGTAAAGGAGATGTACTGTACCACATGTGTTGTAAATCACTGTCTTTTGCTTTAGCTTTTACCAGATACGTGCATCTATGAAAATTCCTCCAAGAATTCCACACAAATTAGAAGCTAGTTTGTTACATGCAACTGGTAAGTGCAAAGACTGTTGGTAAATGAGGTCATTGTCTTGCCTTGCTGATTAAGGATGCTTAATTTCTATTCCCCATATCCTTTAGTAGTTCACTAGAATTGCTTGGGACTCAGAATGCCATTTACAGATCTGATAGGACAAGTCACTTGCTTTAGCTCCAGCCCTGTGAAGGTCTCTTATTATTCTTGTAATTTGAAGGAAAATGCTCCAGAAAGCTAAAAGAAAAACATATTTCTAGCCTGTATGAGGTTGTTTCAGATTTGAGGGTGTTCTGAATTCCTCCTGTCAAAAATTTGTGTCTGGTTTTCAGACAGAAAATAAAGGGTGCAAAAAGAAAGCCAGTTAGGAAGGAATGAGGTGTCTGTTGTTACAATGCAAGAGTAAATTAATTCCCCACTAGTTTTTCCTCTCCATTGTGGTAACAGCTTTTTGTGTGGATAGAAGCTTAGAAATAGTCTTGGCCAGTCAGGGCATCGTTGATTTACAAACCATTAGTTTTGCCTTGTTGGCCTCACATTTGTGAGCCCTTGCTCCCCATGTCCAAGTGGCCCAGGCTGTTCCTGGCAGCAGCTTTTCCTCTGCAGCTCCCCTGGCCCTGCTGGGGGTGCTGGTTCCTCTTACACTGAAGTCAGCAGAGCTGAGGCTGCAGCACAGGGAGTGGGACCTCAGCCACATGGCTCCATTATTTCTTTTGGCTCAGAGGGGAGTGGGACATCCCTTTTGCTGATGCTGTGTGGTTATATCAGATTTGTGCCCTGTGAAACCATACCTGCTCTGCCCTTCACCTCTGGCAGATGGCACAGATGGATACACACTCCAAGTGGCTTTATACATAAGGGAGTTACACTGTGAGGATTCAGCCTGTGTCAGCATTTTGTCCAGGACACCTAAATCGATGATATATATGAAAGCACTGCAGCAAACCCAGTAATTGTGCTTGTTTCTAGTTTCTGATTCGAGTTTCTGAAGGGAAGTTGAACTAAGATGTTCTTAAGATTGTAGAGTTGGACTGTTTGTTGAGGGCAGTGATATTCTATCAGAGGCCCCAGATCTGTAACATGCAAACTGCAGGTTTTTATTCTTTTTCTCCTGTGAATTCCTTGAAGTAATTTATGAAGAGGAATCAAAAGAACTAAAAAAAAATATATTTTTTTGCACCCCCATTTACACAATGTCTAAGACTTTGTATTCTGGAAGAATACAAAGCCTTTTTGTTACTGAGCCTTTTTGTTAGAGGAGTGGTAAGTGTCAGTATTTCTGTTCTTCCAAGTTCAATCTTCTTTTATCTTATTTTCTTCAGAGGATAGTACCCATCATGATACTTCCTGTGTGATAACCCCTTGCTATTATGATAAATACTCCCCCAATAACTGTTTTAAACCATTTCCTTTCTCATTTCCTCTGCAAGTCTTTTAACCCTTTTTTTTTTTTATTATTTTGGCAAAAAATTCCCCAACTACTTATCACACTTTTCTGAACTCTTTTTGATTAGCAGCCTCTGGATTGTAAGCAGAAGTGTCATATTGCATGAGAAATGTAAGGTTTGGCTGAGAAACTTGTAACTGGTGTGGCCAGAGTAGGATGCAAAGATCCAGAAGGAAAGAATGAACCACCTCTGTTCTTCATTAATTCAGTGGAGTGCTATATGTCATTTAAACTTTTTCCTCATCTGTAGGTACTTAAGAGTTCTCAGTGTGGTTAAACCCTGCAGATCAACATGAATGTTGGATGACACAACATGAATTTCAGGATTTTTATTAGAATTTTTGATGCCTATGATGTCTTGCTTCAGACTGTTACAAAGCAAAAATTCTTCAGCTCAGAACTTTTATTAAAAGCAAATTCCAGTAAAAATATTGATACAGTATTTCTTTGAAACAAAATGTGCCCCTTCAATCTCCAGCAGTTGCTGACTGAAAACTGCTGCTATTATTGGTGTTACAGTTTTGATAATGGGCATGAAACTGATGGAAATGGTAGTTCCATTTAGTAGCTGCTCTAGGTTTTCCAATTTTATTAATACTTGTTTCTCTCTTCAGGTGCAGATCTTGCCTTTCCTGCTTCAGTCCATGACAACGTAGTTTGCAGTAAAACCTTTCAGATTCTTTATAAAAATGAGGAAGTTGCTGTGAACGATGTGATGATTTTCAAAATAAAAATGCTGTTAGATGAGAGGAAGGTAATCTGCCATTCAGCTTTACTGTGTTCAGATAATTCAGTCTTCCTTAGGTATGATTTGAGTTAGTGCAAAAAATATTGACCGGAAAGATTTGATGCTTCTGCAATTTCTTTGCAGATTGAGGAGTCGCTTAATGAAATGAATTTTCTGCTAACATTAGATCTGCACTTCACAGACACAGACTATTCGTAAGTTTTAAAAGAGAAGATCTATTAAAGCAACAATTCATGTTCACTTTTTTAACTGATTAAATCTGTATTATTTATAGGTGTAGTATGTTCATATTAGACATAAACTAGGGTAAAAAAGAAATCCAATGCTGAAGTCTGTTAAGATTTCCTAACTGGTTTGTCTCAGAGATGACACTGCATTGCAAAGTATAGACCGACTTAACTTGCTGTCTTGCACTTTAAATGTAACTGTTCTAATTGTATGTTGTTTTGTTCATTTCTTTATAGACCAGATGACTTGAGCACACTACAGCCAATTAGTAGCCGAACTTTAAAGTTGCACTTTAACTTACACCAAGGCCTTCATCATTATGTCAATGTAATGTTTGATTACTTCCACCTCTCTGTCATATCGGTTATAGTCCATGCTTCTTTGGTTGCTCTGCATCAGCCATTGATAAGGTAATCTCTTGTTGATAGCATGCAAATAAATGATGGAGTGTCCAAATGCAAAATGTTAGAAAAACAGAATACTTACGAAGGACTTCGGTCTATAGGCAATATTGTGTTCTGTATGATGATTTGGGATTTCAGGGCCCAGAGGGATGAGCAACTTCTTGTTTTCAGTTATCTGAAATGAGCTTTGAGGGTTTTTCCTGTGTTATATATAAGAGTTTATAGTGTAGAAGAGAGATAATACCCAAGACCAGAGAAGTGGAGGAATGTATAAATATCTGTATTTATACATGTATATTTATATGTATAAATATTTATGAATTTTCCTAATCAGGAGGATCTGCTGCTCACTCTAGTTAGTGACTGAAATAGCTGCCATTAATACAAATAGGGCACCTTCTGTTAGTTATCTGCACAGTTTGCAGTTACTGCTGTGATGGCACTGATGTCTGCAAATGAGACATTTACCATTTTCCATAGGTAAAAACAACTGGAGAAATTAGTTTTCTCTTGAAAAAAGTTTTTGCCTAATTTTTGCTGGAGGAAATTTTGTCACTGACTTGTGTCACCCTTTGCAATCTCAGTTTCTTCCCTTCTCTCTCTCTCTCAAAAGTAAGTGTGAAAAAGGGCTGTACAGGGAGTCAAATAAATGAAATTTCTTTGTACAGCTTGTTCTTTAGCATATC